GACCTTGTTACTTTGCTATAACAATACCAAGAAGGCTATAGCATTGTAACAATATCTATATGATGAAGTATAATGCAATGATGCACAGGATTAAAAGTCTAATAAGCAATAATAAAATATACAATGTACTAATCATTATAACAATTATAATTTTTCTTCTCTCGTTGTAAAGGTGCATACTAATAAAAAAGAAAAAAGACTATTAGTGAAGTAATAAAAAAATAAATTCAAAGCCTTTTCTATTGAGTTGACATTCTGCTTTTTTTCATAAAGAACCTTCATGTGTGTATAAATTTTGTCTTTTGGTAATTTAGATAAAACTTAAATAGGTATTAAATTCTAAATAATTCAGGTTTATTGCAACATGAATAATATCTTGGGACTTTCCGATGCAATTGATACTAGTACTGTTAAATGCAGATATACTTTTGCAACCTTTGCTAAAGCTTGTGCAACAATTGAAAGTTATGCAACACGAATGAATTCTGTTATAATTTTAGGGAAAACAAAAAAAAACCTGACAATAGTTATAAGCAAGTACTTTTTGTATGCGAAAAACAAGAAAAATATTCCAGAACAAATGACACATATATTACCAAACATACTGGATATCACTTCGCTATTAGTGTATATTATCGCAAATGTGACAAAGAATTTGCAATTACTATATCATGCCTAGAGCACAACCATGATCCTTGGTTTGATGCTACAAAATTTAGTAGTGTTATAAAAAAACTTGATCAAAATGATCTCGGATTAATAGAAAAACTACATAATGATAGACTTAAAATGAAAGATGTTTTTTTCAGTATTGAATTCTGTTAGCACAAAATATATTCATAAACCTGATATCAACAATGCTATAAGTTGTCAACGGCAGTTGAAGTTACAAGGTTTAAGTGAAATCGAAATGCTTCTTAAAAATTTGTGTGAAAATGAAAATATTATAGTTGACATCGCATTAAAAAATGCATTTAATAATGAACGAGACCAGGATGGTGAATTTATACAGGCAATTTTTTGGGCTTACCGCAATGCGATTTCTGAGTTTGTAGTAGGAAAATATGTTTTGATTATCAATACCACTTACAAAACCAATAGGTTTTCAATACCCTTGGTCGCTATTTGCAGTATTGATTGGTTTGGGTCTACATATCCACTTGCTTTCGCTCTTGTTTATTCAGAAATGCAAGAATTTTACTGCTGGGTGTTGCAACAACTAAATAAGGCACTAATTATTGTGACAGATAGTGCACAAGTTGCAATAATGATAACTGATTGGGAATTGGCC